TGCAAATACAGAAACGCAGCTATGTGTACAGCAAATCCTTGATTTGAATAGGAGGCGCAATGACTATAAGTGAATTAATCCCTTCCTGAGAAAGTGTAACAATCAGGATTAGATTAGTGTGGCAATTAAGAAGCACAGTGGATAGAGTATGGGATCTGAAGTTAGGAAGATTGAACTTCAAATTCTGTTATAGGCATTTACTGGCTTGTGACACTCAGCAAATCATTTGACCTTTCTCAGGTTCAGTTTCTTCATCTGTAAAAATGGGAAAAATAATAGCCCAACCTCACAGAGCTGCTTTACAATATCAGACGAAGCAGATGATATGTATAAAGCACTTAACATATCTCAAAGTGACATCTAAATGTTAGCTGCCACCACTATTATCAATAGAAAAATCAGGAACTGGAGTATTGCATTAAGAAGTGTCCCATTTCCGGGCTGGGGCCTGAACATGGAGAAGGTTAATATGATAACAGATATTTATATAGTGCTTTAAGGTCTACAAAGCACTTTACATAAATGATATCCTTTGAACATCACAACAGCCCTGTGAAATAGGTACTGCAAGTTTTATTATTGTTATTATTATTATAGATTTACCAATAAAGAAACTGAGGCTCAGGGAGATTAAGTGATATGTTCATATTGACAAAGTTAACAAGTGTCCAAGTTGGCATTTGAACCTGTCCAATATCAGTACTCTGGCCACTTCTCCTGCCTGTCTCATCCCCAGACAAAATTCATGGAATTCTAAAATTTCAAATGTGGAAGAAAGGTTAGAGGCCATCCCCCCCAACTCCTACGTTTTACCGAGGCAAAGACTGTGGCCCAGAGATGGTTAAATGACTTGCCTACCGTCACCCAACTAGTGTCAGAAGTGGGTCTGGCATGAACGTCTCTATTTCAAATCTAAGACTATGCCACTAAGTCAAAGCAGTATTTTTATTATTTGGCTTCAATTTCTGTAGCTATGACTGCTCTGTAACCATTTTGAATTAAAGTTCATGCTGAACCTGAGTTAAGAGATAAATCTTTAAAGTCATCAACCTCTTCCTGACTTTCCTTGTATTACCAACTTCAATCCTATAGCAAAGGGCTCTAAGGAGAAAATTACCCTGAAATTTAAGTAATCAAATACCGCCTGAAAACTAATACATTGGCTCAGCTTAATATTGAAAAAAAGTATTTTTAACTGCCCCTACCAAGACCCCTTGTAGAGGAATAATTAAAATGAAATCTCTTTTTGCCTCAAGGGTATGAGAGTACTATATGAGCCAATGTAATAATTAGTTTTAGATTTTCCTCCTCATTTTTCCCCCTCTCTCCCTTTTGGTACAATGGAATCATTTAGAGTCTTCATTTACTTACAATGCATGATCTTGTCTCACCAGCTGATACTAGGACATCCAGTAGCATATAATGACATATAGTAGTGATCTGCAGTTCACTGAGATTGTTGCATGGTCCTCCTCTGAGCATCACTGGGATGCACCCTGGGCCTTGTGTTTAGTCTCAGTGTCTACATCTTTGGTTGCTTCAAAGTATTATTTGTGTACCCTTCTGTAACCCAGGAAGAACTAGAGACCAACCCAAAGGTAACAAATTAGGGTGAGTCTATAAGGAACCATGGGGGTGAAGCAATCTGCTTAGAATGCAATAGTAAGTGATCCTGACTGCAAAATGTACCCTAACTCTACTCTTGCTTTAAGAGAATGTCATGAATGAACAAATATAAATGGAATGGACTTGTCTTCATTAATATCATTCTCTAATCAACCAAGATAATTTCCCTATTACATAAAGACCCAGATCCACAAGCTTAAGAGGACTTGAAAGCAATAAAGTACTACTGGGTCAAATGAAAACAGTCATAAAAATGATAAATGCTAGGACTATACTTTTTCATCCTTTAAATCATGCAAATTCATCCTTCTCATCAACTGATAAGCATAGGAAAAATACAATTGAGCCCAATCATACATAAAATGATAATTTGGTTGAAGAAGGTTCAGATGGAAAGCAGTTCCTTTTATGGTTCCTATTGGGCCTCAACCTTCCTTCATTGCACTTGGATAAAAATGTGTTGTGACTAATGTGTTAGTAAGTGCAGAGAATTATTCTCAACACTGGGAAAGATACAAAATAAAACTAAGTCATAATCCTTCTCTGCATCATCACCATCATCATCATCATCACCATTATCATCATCACAATCATCACCATCATCATCATCACCATCATCATCATCATCATCATCAAGAATAGAGTCATCATAATAGCTAGCACTTTATGGTTTATAAGAATTTACATATTTTATCTCATTTGATCCTCACAATAACACTATGGGGTTAGGTGCTATTATTATAGCCATCTTACAGATAAATAAACTGAGGTTGTATTATATTAAAATTTGATATACTACTTTGTTTAATATGGCTTAACTAATTTATTATATATTAGTTATTCTCCCTTGGTATGTGCCTCTGAGTCCCTTAAGCTTATAGCTGTTAGCTCCCTATTTAGCCACCCTCCATCCCTTAAATTCCCCTCCTCAAGACTTTCCTGCCACAAAATTCTGATCTATATTCTTATCTAGCAGAAATCAATAACATGTAAACTGCAAATTCCGTGTTCTCTCTCAGAAATTGCCAACCACTGGATTTTCAAAAGGATGTTAGTCCACCTTATGAAAAACTGAAGTAAGTTGCAGTTAGTGACCTTGGCACTGACCAATCAGAAGTGAGATATACCTCTGTTATGCCAGATTCATGTCACTGTCTATTTTGGAGTTCCTCTGTATGTCTATATAAGAGCTGATTTGACTGTCAGAGGCATTCTTGGTTACTGAGGTGCCTTGGGCCCCATTTATTGGCAATTGCTAGCTTTGCTAATAAATTGATCACACTCAGAACTTTATTGTCTCCATGTACCATTACTTCCATTGTAACAGTTAAGAAAAGTTAAGTGGTTTGACCAAGGTCATAGACCTAGTAAGTACATGGAGCTTATAGTCTAGTCCAAGGATAAAACACAAACACAACTCTTTAATACAGAATATTATGTAAATCTATGAAAGGGTGCCAAGTCAAGTTCTATTATGACATGAGAAGTTAATTAATAATGGAGTGATCATGGAAGGTGGCATTGAAGAGGTGGCATTTAAGTTGGGATTTAAGGGTTAGACAGATACTTAACTGGCAAAAATAGAGAGAAGGAAGATCTTCCAGACATAGGGACAGTGTGAGCAGAGGAAAAAAGACAAGACAGTGAAGGACATGTTCTCAGTCTAATAGAAAAATGATGGTAGAGAATGATCCATTTTGTCTTCAGCATTGAATGGAACAGAGTAATACGAAAAAGATCTGGAAAGGTAAGGTGACATCAGGTTCAAGGGCCTTAAATTCTAGTCAAAGGAGACTAAACTGATTCAGGATGCTATTGAAGATTTTTGAACAGTTTTGGAAGATGGTTTGGAGTTGGAGGAAGTGAAAGTGAAGTGAAAATAGAAGATTTGTAAGAATGTTATTATTGCAAAAGTTCAGGTGGGTAATAGTGGGGGCCTGTACTATGGCTGTGGCTGTAGCCGTCCAATGGCTATGGCCAGATGAATATAGAAAACAGTGCACATGAAAGACATTTTGCAGGGGTTTTTAACCATTTTTCTATGTCATGGATCCCTTTGGCTGTCTGGAAAAACTATGAACCCTTCTCAGAATGTTCTTAAATGCATAAAAGAAAATGCATAGGATTACAAAGGAAACCAATTACATTGAAATGAAGTTATTAAAATGTAAAAATAACACAAGTTCATGGATCCCAGGTAAGAACCCCTGCATGGACAGGGAGAATTGTGAAAGGTTGGTAACCAATTAGATTACATATGTGAGGGAAACAAAGGGTAAATGATAAGTTCCTTTAGTAATGTGCTATGCTGTCTCAAAGCTGAGGTATTTTATGCCCCACTTACATCCTGCATGCTGCAAATTAAGCCAACTCCCTTCCTCATGGCATTTAGCAGAATATCAGTAGATATTCAAACATAAATGATTTGGACAAAGATTGTAGATTTAAAGGTGAAGGTACCTCCAATGTCTTCTACAACTTTCTTTCATTTTACAGATGAGGAAACTGAGGCCCAAATGATTTGAGACAAGGTCACACAGGTAGGAAGTGCGGTACCATGATTGAAGTCAAGGTCTTTCCACTGTACTATACTTGGCAAAAGGTGCATGAATAACCCTCCTAACATACAAAGAGCAGTTTCAGAAGGAAAGATAAAAGTGTGGCTTGGGAGATGCTGATTTTCATGTACTGGTAAAACTTTTAGGCAGAGATGTGGGTTTGGAGCTGAGAAGAAGGAAGGGCAGGAGAAAGAGATTTGGAAGTTATCTGCATGAGGTGGTGTCTGAAAAGATTGGAGTGAATGAAATGGCCAAGGGAGAGAGGGAAGAGAAGTTCAAGTACATATCCAAAAGGGAATAAGTCACGCTTAACTCACATTTAAGCTACCTGAAAATGAGAAAAAGAAGGTAAGGAGAACAAAGTGATGGTCAATGTCACAAAGGAAAGGGACTGGACATGCAATTTCATTTGGCATAGGGAACTCCCATATAAGGGAGCACCTTCTCTGCAATTTATAGTTTTAGAGAATTGCCTAGAGAACTGAGAGACTAAGTGACTTGCCTGGGTATCCCAGCCAGTATGTATCAGAGATAGGACTTGAACCCAGGACTTTCCGACTAGGAGTACAATTCTCTAACCATTATACTACACTGCCACTATATCACACAGAAAGAAGCTAAAAATGACACCTACAGTTACAAACACATACACAGAGATAGATAAATGGCTAGATAGATAGACAGATAGATAGAGGGGTAAGAAGGAATTGAGAAGGGGGAATAAATGGAGAGTCATTTCCTACTGGTTGATGTCTATGAATCCAAGCCATAGCAATGGCCATGACACATTCCAGACGAGATACAGAAAACCCTTACGGTAGCATATGTGAGTGGCTGACGTCTTTCTTCTCGGAGACCTCAAAGTGTGGTGATATTTTTCCCAGCCCACTGTCACTCAGCATGCGTTTTCGAAGAGCAGGGTTCCACCAATCTGACATCCTTGTGGGAGAAAAGGACACCAGTTACCTCTTCAAAGCTAGTTTCAAAGTGTCTACAGCACTTAATCTGTTCTCCCTCTAGCCCCAAAGCTAGGCAATTTAGTTGAGGCTAGAAACTAATGTATTAAAATCAAAAGCAACCAATAAAATAGATTTCTCCCTCTTTCCCTCCCTCTCTCCTTCCTTCCTTCCTTCTTTTCTTCCTTTCTTTTTTTCCTTTCATCCTTATCACTGTCCTAGCTGCTCCTTTAATAAATTTCTCACCCTGTTCTTCTTTATAAGTACCTGAGACTCTTACTTCTCTATATCTCTGAGAAGGGATATCATCTTTGCCTCATTCTCTTTTCTCTTCATTTTTGTACCGTGTCTGAAGCTAGGCTTTACCAAGAAATATGTGCTTCCTGGCCAGAACAAGCTATCTCTGTACATACTACACTGTCTGTTTTGGTCTTTGAAGTTGTCAGACTCCAAGCCACAACTGCCACAGACACTAGCCAACACGGCGGGTTTTTCCGCACTGACTTCACCTGTAAAGAAGTGCTCACTCACCCAGAAGCTTGTTCCACCACCAGATCAGGCATCCCTGGCGGTGTCCCTGCTTGCTGTGATACCACCATATCTGGATCCAGAATAAAAATCTCATCTTGTGAAACTTCCATCACAAAGTGCAAATGTTCCTAGGGAATATTATTATTATTGTTACTATTCCTGTTGTTGATGTTAAAACAACAAAATGGATATTTATATAGTGCCTTAAAGTTTGGAAAGTACTTTTCACACATTATTTTATTTGAACCTCACAACAACCCTGTGTAGAAAGTACTACAGATACTGCTTTCATTTTCCAGTTGAAGAAAGTGAGGCTGAGAAACTAAGTGACTCTCCCATAATCACACAGTTATTAAGTGTCTATAGCAGGTTTTCTTGACTCTTAAGTCTAGCAGGGAAGAAAATCTGGTCTGTCAGAATGGATATGCAGTGTTCCAGAGCTACCAGGTGGATTAGGACATTAAAATTTTTTTTTAAAAATAAAAAAAAACTACCTTGGAAGGGGCAGATAGGTGGTACAGTAGATAGAGTCCTGGGCTGGGCCTGAAGTCAGGAAGATGAGACTTCCTGACTTCAAATCTGGCCTCAAGACACTGTGTGACCCTGGGCAAGTCACTTAACTCTGCTTACCTTAGTTCCTCATCTGTAAAATGAGCTGGAGAAGGAAATGAAAAACCACTCCAGTATCTTTGCCAAGAAAACCCCAAATGGGTAAGCAACAAAGGACCTGGGAGAAACCACTAAGAAATATGAGTAGCAGACTTGTAGCATGTCAAATAGTCATTTAAGTCATAGCCTATCTCAACTCTGAGTTGAGGAGGACCTTGGCTAGGGTTCTAGAACTAAGGCTTGTGTTTCCCATCAGGAATGGCATTGGGGATGTGGTCTAGACATGATCACTCTGGGCCTAAGGGGCTAACGGTGACAGGTTTGTACTGGAACCTCTCCTGAAGCTTTGGCCTACTCCTTGCTAGAGGAGTACATGGTAAAGAGATGAAGGGATCCAGAAATCGTGAAGATTTTTTTCCCCTTCACTATCTCTTAGGGAATCACCAGAGGCATCATCTACTCCAAATATCTCCTAATTAGTTCAATTCATCCTGTAGTACTGGACTGGGAGAATACAGAATTATTCTGGAAACTTGATCTTCCACAAATGCTATCAAAAAAAAAGGGAATATCATTAGGCTAGCACTACTCCAAGACAGTGTGGATCACCATTCCCTGGACTTAATTACCACTGGACAGAACTGGTACAGAATCCATAGCAAAGGAATGCCTGTCTCACTGAGCTAAACTTTAAAGGCTAATTCAAGAGAAGCCAAGGAGCTAAAAGTTCCATTAATAGTGATCAAGCTCCGACTATTTTTAATATTGGATTTTCACTAGGTTTCCTTAAAAATCTATGATTACCAATGAACTGGGGGCATCTCGTCATAGGTGATGATATTCTCTTGCTTTGGCAACAAAAAACCTCAAGAAAAGGTGGATGTTGGTGGGAAAGCATTAAGTTGGATGGAGCTACTGAAAACATTCAATAAAGGCTATAAACCTAATGACTTTTAACAAATCCACAAGATTAGTCTGCAAAGGAATTAGTGGTTCATGGTCCTGACTGGTATGTCATTCCAGAAGCTCTGCAGGTTTTCAGAACAGTCGATAGGAAGAGACAACAAAAAGTTATTTACAGATAAGGAATTTGTCATTTGTACACTGAGGGGAACTCACCTGAGCTCTGTCTATTCGATAAAAGCGATCAGCAGAAGTAGCTAGGAGAGAAACGGACAACGAAGAGTCACATTACAAGGAAGCTCCGATCTCCAACAAGCCTAGTTAGCAGTTAGCAGACTCAGACTGCTTCAGAAACCGAGGGAGACTGCATTTGGAGTGAGGTTCTCAGACAGTCTAGCTTGAGGGTTCTGTGTCCTGGGGAAGGAATTCTCAGTTGCTCGAATTATCTGGAGAGGTTAAGCCAAGGCTTCGCTATTAAGGATGGGGCACTCATTAAGTGTGAAAATCTAGGGTCATTTTTCTCGAGGCCTGGACAAGTCCATGCTTCCAGGGCTCTATGAAAATACTGGTATAAGGACTCCCTCTAGGACTGTGGGTTAGAATAAAGCTAGGTGGTGCAGTGCATAGAGTGCTAGATTTGGAGTGAGGAAAACCTGAGTCCAAATCTCGCTTCACATACTTTCAAGCTGTATGTCTCTTGGTAAGTCACTTCACCCCTCTCCTTACCTTCTTTTATCTGTCAAGTATAATAATGGGGTTATTATCCTATCTCGTAGGGTTGCTGTGAGAATAAAATGAGATAATATATGCAAAATGCTTTGTAGAGGCAGCTAGGTGGCGCAGTGTATAGAATTCCGGCCTTGGAGGCATGAGAACCTGAGTTCAAATCCTGCCTCAGATACTTGACACTTACTAGCAGTGTGACCCTGGGCAAGTCACTTAACCCCAATTGCCTCACCAAATAGCAAAACAAACAAAATGCTTTGTAGGTCTTATTTCACTAGTTAAATGGTAGTATTATTACTATCCCTCATGCTTGAGATTCTTGTCCATATCATCCTAGAAATCTTCCACAGAAGACCTACACAATAGGCTAGAGAACTCCCTTTAGATGGGCCAGCATATAGTAAAACACAATGTCAAAAGGACATTGGACTAGGGTTTGTTCGATGACAGACACTGGGTCACAGGATTACAGTTTCTAGAAGCTGCAATATAGGCTTCTGGTTAGTTACTCCAACTAGATTTACTAACTGTTATTTCTTAAAGTGAATAACAGCCCCCCTCATTTGCATTTCTATCTAAGAGGGCCTCAAGCATTACCACCACAGTACACGAAGCCAGAGGAAAGTACTCAAGATCAGGCAAAGAAAATTCAGCCTTGGGAAGGACTTATTCATTAACAACCAATACAGTTTTATCTTCTACTGTAGCAGAAACCTACACAATGAAACAGACACGACGAAACTTTTAATCGAGTAGAATTGGCTTCTGTGTTAAAACTAAACACCCATAGCAGTATCCTGCATTCAATTTTTTTCTCAATTTATATGCAAAGTAGCCTGGCTGGTATAAAAATATATAACACATTTCTCTAATATGTTAATTTGCTCTTCTATGACAGGGTTCAGGAATACCATGTGCTTTCTTTCACCTTACCCCTTCCCATCTTAGCCCTTGACAAATCTAGAGTTAATCCTTATGCTATTCTGAAAGAAGGGAATTGTTTTGAATACAATTAATTTCCTAGTCAAGGAGCGTCAGATATTCCATACAGGCAGAACCTACACCCTAGTTTGAAAGACACTCATGGAGTAATAATATCAACAATACTTAGCATTTCTATGAGCTTTAAAATTTGTAACGTGCTTTCCATATGACATTTCTTTTGATATTCAGAATATCCCTCTGAGGTGCATGTTATTATTATTATTATTATTATCATTATTATTGTTGTTGTTGTTGTTATTCCAATTTTTCAGATGAGGAAATTGAAGCTCAGAGACGTTGAATGAATTGTCTGAGGTCCCATTGCTTTTAAGTGTCTGAGGTTAGACTTAAACTTGGGCCTTTCTGATTCCAAGGCCAGAAATACATCCACTACACCAGGGATGTCAAACCTGAAGCTGGCTAGTGCAAGCAAGCCATGAAACTCCTTCATAACCCGAAGTATTTGTAATTGGAAAACATTTAACAAAATGTTAAAAATGATACAGTATAGATGATGTTTATTTGTGGTTTTCTAAGTCAATAAGCTGCCCAGATGGATCTTTTTCTATTTGAGTTTGACATTACTGCATTGCACCACGCTACTCTCGTAAGTATACAGCTTGTACAATACTGTCACTCCCTCCTCACATACAAATACCACATGCGCCCATTCTCACTCTCACCCATACACGCAGACTATAGTCATGAGATCTGTTGGGAAAAAAAAAATGCATAAGCACTGTTCTTCAAGGAAGTAACTTTGAGAAGCTATATACCAATTCCTGAGTTGCTATTTAAAGAACTTCTCTTTTAGAATGGTCTTCGGAGACACCTTACAAGCTTCATAAAATTGGTCTCCTTTATTTTATAATCACATCTCATACAGTCACATATATTCATTTAGAACTAACCTTGATTGCATGCATACCACTATATAGTCTCTTTTATCCATATGATACATTGCCTCCAGGTGTGTGCATATACACCATGAGCACATATGCACACAGAGGGAGACACACAAAGAAAGAGACTAGAAAATACAGTGCTTAGATCAAGAGTGTTCTGAAGACCCATTCCATCACACTAGTTTTTCCAGTTGAAAACTTGGGCCTGGTTGGTTCTCCATACTAAGCTCAGTTTTCTTAGCTATTAAAGATCACCATTTTTATTTATAACATGTAAATAGTGATTTTGCTACCATGTATTTTGCATATGTTATCCCCATTGAGTCTTGCAATAGCTTCACGTGGTAGGTAAGGCAAATAGCTCATAATTATTATCCAGATGAGAAAACTGAGGTTCAGAGATGCTTGTCCAAAGCCACACAACTAGTCAGTGGCTTATCTGGGACTCTGATCCAGGTTTTCTGGCTTCAGATCCCATAATCCTTCCACAATGACAACTAATAGAGCTACATATTCCTGTGCTAGTGTAGGGCCAATTCATTCCTTCTTTGTCACCTTCCCAATTCTCTTAGTCTCTTTGTTCAAACCATAGCCTGTACAACAGATTCCCCATTCCATCCCTTCATTTTGTTTTTATTTATTTGCTTTTGTTTGTTTGCTAATCACTCAATAAGCATTTATGACAAGCCTATTATGTGCTAGGCTTTGTGGGAAGCATCGGAGATACAAAGACTGAAACAATCCTGCCTTGAAAGGTAGATTGGCCTGGCCTGCCAGACAGAGAGCCAGCCAGCTTCAAGCAGGAAGCCAGGATGTTCAAATCCAGTCTCCAACACATCCTGGATGTGTGATCCGGGATACAGCAGGTAGCCTGTCAATATCCCCAGACTATAAATTGCAGAACAGCTGCAAATTCGCATGACTAGAAGGAGCTTCCTCACCATGAGATCCCACCACCAATTAAACCACAAATCAGGATATACATGGCCACATATTAATACTCTATATCTTAATGATGCCCCTCCTTCTTGCACTGTCTCTTCAGAAACTCTCCTGTCCCCCTTTGTAGACTCCTCTCCCTTAAATGTAGGGGGGAGGATGAGAAAAGGGGATGGTGAATAATTAATTCACCCTCCTAATGAAGGACAGCTGTCTAGCCTTCAAACAAAAGCAGGAACACTTACCATCTAGGAAGCACCACCTGGGGGAAAGTCTCTGAGCTGAAAGAGCCCTGGGGAAAGAGGTTTCCTGATCCTGAAAAGAGAGAAACAAGATTCTTGACTTAGAGGTAGGAGGGACCTTAGAATTCATTTAGTTCTAGGGTTGTAAGAGAACCCATAGGCTAGAATGAAGCCTACAGACTCCTCAGAATAATGTCTTTAATGCATAAAATAAAACATAAAAGAATACAAAGGAAACCAATTATACAGAAAAAGTTATTAAAATATTTTTTAAACCACATTTATGGACCCCTGGTAAAGAAGTCCTGATCTAGTACAACTTCTTCATTTTATATTTGAGGAAACTGAGGCCTAGAGAGGTTAAATGATTTGACTGTTGTTACATAGGTAGTAAGAGGTACAGGCTGGATTTGAACCCAGGTACTTTGGCTGCAAATCCAGCACTCTCTCTACTGCACCATGCTGCATTCTAAGTAATAAAATATTAATAGAATTATTAACACTGAAATTTCACCTCAGGTGACCAACTGGTTCCAGTATCAAATGAACCAATACATTTTATTTTACCTCGTGTCACCTTAACAATAAAGTAGACAAGACAGGGATCCTCATTCTCACTTAACTTCTTGGGGCATCAGTTTCCAGAGGGGTCAAGTGAAAAACCAAAGATCACACAACCATTTAGGAGCCCAGACAAGACCAGAAACCATTTCTTTTTCCTTCTATCCTTATGTTTCCCAGCTGATGAGCAAGTGTACACATTCTTCTCTTCTCTGATTTTAAGGTCTAATGTTTAAACTATATAGAAACAACCTTCTTCATAATTCTTCTTTATACAACTCCTAAGTCGCTAAACATTAATCAATCATTCCATTCACAGAAGCACCTACTACAAATCAGGTACAATTCTAGCTATTGAAGAATCAGAGACAAGAATGAAACAGTCCTTCCTCTCATAGAATTGACATTCTACTGGGAGGTAAAACAGGAATGTTTGAAAATGCTATTATCAATCCGGCCTCAGACACATAACATTTACTAGCTGTGTGACCCTGGGCAAGGCACTTAACTCCATTGCCTAGCCAAAAAAAGAAAAAAGAAAAGAAAAAAAAAGAAAAAAAATGCTACTATTCTTTCCTAAATACATATCAATGTATTCTTTCCTAAATACATGTCAATGTAATCCTTTCCTAAATACATGTCAATGGCTAGAATACTGTGCTGAGCCTTTTAGCAGAAAGAATTCTATTAGGAAATGAATGTAGGAGGGGAAAAAAACAACTTTAAACATCGTTTCCAGTCATAATTTTCAAGAGGTGTCTAATTATTTCACTAACAATTCATTACTATGACAAACAGGATGGTTTCAGAAAAAAACACTGGAAAGACTTATATGAATGGATACAAAGTGAAATGAGCAGAACCAGGAGAATATTGGACACAGTAACAGTCATATCATAAGGATGATCAACTGTAAAAGACTAAGCTCTTCTCAGCAATACAATGATTTAAGACAATTCCAATGGAGTTATGATGAAAAATGCTATCCTCCTCCAGAAAAAGAACTGATGGAGTCTGAATGCAGATCAAAGCACAGGTTGTTTTTTTTTTAACTTTCTTTATTTTTCTTGTTTTTTTTTTTTCCTTTATGGTCTGTGTTTTCTTCTGTAACATGGCTTACATGGAAATGTGTTTTGCATGACTGTATATGTATAATCTATATCAAATTGCTTGCCTTCTCAAGGTGAGGGGAGTGGAGGGAGGAAGAGAATGTGGAACTCAAAATTTTACAAATGTCAAAATTTGTTTTTTACATGTAATTGGAAAATAAAATAAAACATAAATTTTTTAAAAACAATTCATTATTAAGATAGCTTGGGGAAAAAACAATATAAGGACATTTTTCTTTCCTTTTCAAAACTAAGGGGAGAATAAGAACCAGTGCAAGTCACTACTTTCCTGTTCCCCATGATGGTAAAGGGCATTAGAACATTTCAAGTTTCCCCAGTCAAACAGATTTTCTCTACTAGACAGGCTTACTATTAGCTACACAAGATTATTTTGCTTTTCACTCAAAATCTCTGGGTAGTTGACAGTATCACAGGTTTAGAGTTGGAAAGATTATTAGAGGTCATTTAGCCCAACTCCCTCATTTTAAAAATGAGAAACTGGGGCCTAGGAGGTTAAATGTCATTCCCAAGATAACACAGCTAACAGATGGCAAGGATGGAACTAAGTCAAGCCAACTAGCATTAATAAAGTGATTATTATGTGTGCCAGTCATTGTGCTAAGGGCTATGTCTGAATCCAAGTCTTCTGACTCTACCACTTGAATGATCCAAAGGATGTGCAATACCATAATGAAAACTGAAAAAAATAAAACAATCAAATAATTCTTAAATAATGTATTTAGGTACTACCTTCCACCCCATATGCTTTATCAATAGTAATAGCATTTAAATACGGGCAGCTAGGTGGCACAGCTGGTAGACTGTCTGGCCTGGAGTCAGTAAAACTCATCTTCCTGAGTTCAAATCTGGCCTCAGACACTTATTAGCTATGTGACCCTGGGAAAACTACTTAACCTTGTTTGCCTTAGTTTCCTCATCTGTGAAATGAGCTGTAAAGGAAAATGGCAAATCACTCCCGTATCTTTGCCAAGAAAACCCCAAATGGTTTCATGAAGAGTGGGATATGACTGAAACAACTGAACAACAACAACAATCATTTATACAGAGCTTTAAGGTTTGAAAGTGATATATATATATATATACATATATACATACACACACATATACATACACACACATATGTATACATACACATGTGTATATATGTATGTGTGTATATGTATATAAATATATGTGTTTTTGTGTGTGTGTGTGTGTGTGTGTGTGTGTTAACTGATTGACTCACAACATCCCTGGGAGGTAGGTGCTATTATTATCTCATTTTTCGGATAGTGAAACTGAGGTAAACAGGTGTTAAGTGACCTGCCCAGAATCAGACAGCTAATAAGTGTCTGAGGCTGGATTTGAACTCAGGATTTCTTGATTCCAAGTCCAGCATTCAATCTATTACCTAGTGAATTCTATCTAGCTGCCTACTTGCTTTCTCTGTTCTTGCCCTAAAAGGCAAACTCAGTTCCCTTTTCCTATCCCCCTTGATCTCTCTATCGCTTTTATTTCTTTCAGGAAATGCAGGATACATCAACAAATAAAAATTCTAAGGAGAAGAGAATTCAGAAGAAGGCTATGGTTCAGTTATACCTCCAAATTCTAAGCAAATTCTATCTGTCCAGCTGTCTGGATTTGGGGAAACAATTTGGAAACGTAGAGGTCACGATGCTTTAGCAAGATTAACGGAAAACAGCTCTTGCTGTATCCCATCACTTTTGGTATTTGTCTCATTATTGTCATTCTCTTGAATGAAGTTATTGATTGTTTCTATGATTTGTTGTTTGACCTACTCATTCTTTTGGATTAGATTATTTAGTTTCCAATTAATTTTTAGTCTATCTTTCCATAGCCCTTTATTACATATAATTTTTTATTGCATCATGATCTGAAAAGGATGCAGTTTAATATTTCTGCCTTTCTGCATTGGATTGTAAGGTTTTTATGCCCCAGAACACAGTCAATTTTTGTGTAAGTGACATGTACCACTGAGAAAAAAGTATATTACTTTCTGTCCCCATTCAATTTTCTCCAGAGGTTTACCATATCTAACTTTTCTAAAATTCTATTCACCTCCTTAACTTCTTTCTTGTTTATTCTGTGATTAGACTTAAATAGTTCAGAGAGGGGAAGGTTGAGGTCCCCCACTAGTATAGTTTTGCTGTTTATTTCTTCCTGTAACTCCCTATAGAGTGGTGGATCAATGGAATAGGTTAGGTACAGAAGACACATTAGTCAATGACTATAATAATCTACTGTTTGATAAACCTAAAGACCCCAGCTTCTGGGATAAGAACTCAGTATTTAACAAAAACTGCTGGGAAAACTGGAAAAGAGTATGGCAGAAACTACGCATAGAACAAAATCTTACACCACATACCAAAATAAAGTCAAAATGGGTAAACAATTTAGATATAAAGGCTGATACTATAAGCAAACTGGGAGAGTAAGGAATAGTTTACCTGTCAGATTTATAGAGAACAGAAGAATTTATGACCAAACAAGAGATGGAGAATATTATGAAATGTAAAATGGATAATTTTGATTACATTAAATTGAAAAGCTTTTGCACAAAGCCAATGCAACCAAGATTAGGAGGGAAGCAGAAAAATGGGAAAAAACTTTTACAACTAGTTTCTATGATAAGGGCCTCATTTCTAAAATACATAGAGAACTGAGTCAAACATATAAGAATGCAAGTCATTCCCCAATTGATAAATGTTCAAAGGATATCAGCAGGCAGTTTTCAGATGAAGGAATTAAAGCTGTCTATAGTCACATGAAAAAATGCTCTAAATCACTATTGATTAGAGAAATACAAATCAAAATAACTTTGAGGTACCGCATCACACCTATTAGATTGGCTAACATGACAAAACAGGAAAATGTTAGACAAGATGTGGGAAAACTGGAACATTATAATGCATTGTTGGTGGAGTTGTGAACTGAGCCAACCATTTTGGAGAGCAATTTGGAACTATGCCCAAAGGGATATAAAAATGTGCATATCCTTTGACCCAGCAATAGCACTTCTAGGGCTGTATCCCAAAGAGATCATAAAAATGGGAAGAGGACCCATGTACAAAAACATATATAGCAGCTCTTTCTGTGGTGGCAAATAACTGGAAATTGAGGGAATGCCTATCAAATGGGGAATGGTTAAACAAGTTGTGTCATATGAATGTAATGGAATATTATTGTGCTATAAGAAATGATGAGCAAGTGGTCTTCAGAAAAACCTGAAAAGGCTTGTATGGACTGATGCTGAGTGAAGTGAGCAGAACCAGGAGAACACTGTACACAGTAACAGCCACATTGTATGATGACTAACTTAGACTTAGCCCTTCTCAGCAATGCAAGGATGTAAGACATCTCCAAAAGTCTCATGATGGAAAAT